AAGACAGGAGAGAGAGGAGAGGAAAGCAGAGAGAGAGAAGAAGACAGGAGAGAGAAAGAAAGACAGAGAGAGAAAGACAAGACAGAAGAGAGAGAGAAAGAGAAAGACAGAGAGAGAGAGAAAGAAAGACAGAGAGAGAGACAGAAAGACAGACAGAGGAAGAAGAGACAGAGAAGACACAGAGACAGACAGACAGAGACACAGACACAGACACAGACACAGACAGAGACAGAGAGAGACAGACAGACAAAACAAACAGCCACCCACCTGCGATCTGACAGCCGTTGGGTAGTACTCAGAGTTGAGAATGGAGGGTATGGGTCCCGTGCCCGAACTGGAGGCGAACATGTACACCATAAGGCACACGAGGGGGACCCACGTGTAGCTCTCTCTTCCTTCGTTTCTGGGGAAAAGGGGGAGAATTAGATATAAGGATGAGAGAAGAGAGAGAGGGGAAGAGGGAGGGGGAGGAGGAAGGAGAGAGAAAAGAGAGATAGGAGGAGGGAGGGAGAGAGAAAGAGAGAGGAGGGGGGGAGGGAGGGAAGGAGGGAGGGAAGGAGAGAGAGAGAGACAGGGAAAATGGATGAAATATTTCATTTCATATTCATCTTATTGAGATAGGTATTGATAACGTAATTGAGATTATACTGATGAGCTTATCAAAAATTATATGTAATAAACCTTAACCATTTTTTTCTTTTTTTTACATTTTCTTTTCTCTTTTTAGGGGTAAATTTTCTCACTCTACAAGCGACCAAGAAAAACAAAACAAACGCGTCTTTTCCCCACGCGCCTTCCTTACCCGCTGAGGAAGTGGTACGCGCCCATGGCCAGCAGGCAGACGCTCATGACCGCCAGCGAGAACATGAGGCAGGTGCGGCGCCCGAACCGGTCCAGGTAGAGGCAGGCGAGGGCGGTGCCGACGGCCTGCACCAGGAACACGAGGATGGTGGCCACGCTCTCGTCCAGCGTCGACCCCGCCTCCAGGAAGATCCTCGTCATGTTCACGTAGAACACCATGAGCCCGCAGAAGTTCTGGACGAAGAACAGCGTCAGCACCGTCGCCAGGGACTTGAGGATGGCCGGGTTGCGCATCACCTTGTGCAGGGGCTCCTTCGCCGAGGCTTTGTTCGACTCCTTCAGGATCCTCAGCAGCTCCCCGACGTCGACGGAGGGCCCCCTCAGATCCCTCAGGACGCGCATGGCCTCCTCCTCGCGCCCGGAGATGGCCAGGTAAGAGGGGCTCTCCGGCAGGAAGGACATGACGCACGTCTGGACCACGATCACGCCCACGCCCACGATCGCGATCTCGTACCAGCGCAGCACCAGCCCCAGCCCCGTCGTGAGGATGAAGCCCGTGCTGAGGACGAGGCTCGGGAGGGCGGCGAGGGCCCCGCGGACGGCCGTGTCGGGGAGCTCGATGATGTAAGTGCTTCCGGCGATGAAGGTGGCGCCGATGCAGAGGCCGTGCACCACCCTGGGGGACGGGGGAGTGAGGGGGGAGAGTGGAGGGGGGGGGAGAGTGAGGGGGGAGAGTGAAGGGGGACGGGGAGAATGAGGGGGGGAGAGTGAAGGGGACGGGGAGAGTGAGGGGGGGAGAGTGAAGGGGACGGGGAGAGTGAGGGGGGGCCGGCAGGGGACGGGGAGAGTGAAGGGGGGGGGGAGGAGAGGTGGGGGGGGGCAGTGAGGGGGCCAGGGGGGGAGGGGGGGGATACATGGATTGATATAGGGAGTGAAGATTGGTAAATTGATAGATAGATGGACTAATAGACTGATAGGTCGGTAATTCATAGATTAGATGGATAGAGAGATAGATGATAGTAGATGGAGAGGATGGTTGGTAGATAGATAGATAGATAGATGGATTGATAGATTGATAGGTCGGTAAAGTGATAGAGAGATATCGAGAGAGATATAGATAGATTTACAGAGAGAGAGAGAGAGAGAGAAACAGAGACGGATATAGACAAAGACAGAGAAGAGGTTAAGAGAGAGGTGGATTGATAGATTGATAGGTTGTAAATTGATAGATAGAGAGATAGATGAACTATAGACTGATAGGTTGGTAGTGATAGATAGAGAGATAGATGGATAGATTGATAAAGTGATAGATAGATATGGATAGGATACGATAGATTGATAGATAGAGAGATAGACTAATAGATTGATAGATAGAGAGATAGATGGACTAATAGACTAATAGTTGTTAAATTGATAGAGAGATATACGGAGAGAGATATAGATAGATTTACACAGAGAGAGAGAGAGAGAGAAAGTGACAGATATAGACAAAGACAAAGAGAAAGAAGAAGAGACAATCATAGCAAGAAAATGTACAATAATCCTAGTGTCAATAATCCTTGCCAATACAGATTACCTTCTCCATTACTAATAATAACTGACTATCGACAAAAGATTAATAAAATTGTCAGTAGAAAATCGTTAAAGATAGTTTTTTTTGTACCAACAGCAAATCAACATATGAGTACTATTGCACTGATGTTGCAACTGTAAAATGAGCGTCGAATATTTAGTCCCAAATCTATTAATAATGATATACATTTCATAATGTTGTTTTTTATTCATACGAAGCAAAAAAATATATATATATTCTAGAAATGCAGTATATGATTAATTAAAATTTCATGAAAAGACATCATGATAATAAATAGAATTGCAATCACTTCTCTTTTCTCTTCTCTCTCTCTCTCTCTCTCTCTCTCTCTCTTCTCTCTCTTCTCTCTCTCTCTCTCTCTCTCTCTCTCTCTCTCTCTCTCTCTCTCTCTCTTTCTCTCTCTTTTCTCTCTCTCTCTCTCTCTCTTTCTCTCTCTTTCTCTCTCTTTCTCTCTCTCTCTCTCTTCCCTCTCCCTCTCCCTCCCTCCCTCCTCCCTCCTCTCTCTCTCTCTCTCTCCTCTCCCCCTCCTCTCCCTCTCCCTCTCCCTCTCCCTCTCCCTCTCCCTCTTTCCTCTTCCTCTTCCTCTTCCTCTCCCTCTCCCTCTCCCTCTCCCTCTCCCTCTCCCCCTCCCTCTCCCTCTCCCTCTCCTCTCCTCTCCCTCTCCCTCTCCCTCTCCCTCTCCCTCTCCCTCTCCCCTCTCCCTCTCCCTCTCCCTCTCTCCCTCTCTCCTCCCTTCTCCTCTCCTCTCCTCCAAAACTACACAAGCAAGTACACCATATTCGCACATACACATACATATACATATACGATCATCCTTCTCTACACCCATCTCAATCCCTCTCACATTCCCTCTCACCTGCCGGCCAAAAGCATCGCGGGGTTGACTGCCAGTGCCACCAGACACCAGCCAAGGGTATATGGCACTACAAGGAGCATGATGGCTCTCTTTCGACCGATGGCGGCGACGAGAAACCCCCAGAGCCATGTTCCAGGAATGTTGCCCACGGATACCATGCTGCCTGGAATGAACGAGGGAGTTGGATAGATGGATAGATGGATAGATGGTGGGTGGGTGGGTGGGGGGTGGGTGGGGTTGGGTTTGGTGGGTGGGTGGGTTTGGGTGGTGGGGGTGGGGGGTGGGTGGGTGGGTGGGTGGGTGGGTGGGTGGAGGGTGGTGGGTGGGTGGGGTGGGTGGGTGGGTGGGTGGGTGGGTGGGAGGGATGGTGGGTGGGTGGGACGGTGGGTGGGATGGGTGGGATGGGTGGGATGGTGGGTGGGTGGGTGGGTGGGTGGGTGGGATGGGTGTGTGGGTGTGTGGGGTGGGTGGTAATGGAGGGGTGGGGGGGTGGGATGGGTGGGTGGGGTGGTTGGAAGGGATGGATGGGTGGAATGGGTGGGTGGGGTGGGATAGGTGGATATGGGATGGGTGGGTGGGTGGAATGGGTGGGATGGGTGGGGTGGGATGGGTGGGTGGATGGGTGGGGGGGAGGGGATGGGTGGTGGGATAGATGGTAGATGGGGTGGGTGGGTGGGTGGGTGGATGGGTGGATGGGTGGGTGGGTGGAGGGTGTATGGATAGGTAGATGGATGG